TGGGATAAGGGAAGCAGGAGCAGAGGGAAAAGAGGGAAAATAGTGGGAAAATAGGGGAAAAAGAGGGAAAACAGTGAAAAAGAGGAAAATAGTGGAAATAGGAAAAAAGGGAAGCAGGAGCAGAGGGAAAAATAGGGGGAAAGAGGGAAAAAAGTGGAAAATAGGGCAAAGGAGGGGAAACAGTGAAAAAGAGGGAAAATAGGGAAATAAGGGAAGCAGGAGTGTAGTGAAAAACAGGGAAATAAGGGAAGCAGGAATGTAGCAAAAAATAGGGAAAACAAGGACAGAGCAGGAAACAGGAACAGAGTGAAAAAAAGGGAAGCAAGAGCGGAGCGAAAAAAGAGGGAAAAAGGGAAAAGGGTGAAAGGAGGGAGCGAACGATTCCCGGGAGGAACATCCCGGGAGGGACATCCCGGATTCCCAGATTCCCGCGGCCCCGCCCACCTGCAATTCCAGCCGCAGAGCGCCAGGATGGAGGCGGGAACGGCGTGGCCCTGCGGGCTTTCCATGGAAAACTTCCCGGGGGGCTTCTCCCCTTCCCGGCCGGATTCCAGCTCGTCCTGGGTGAGCTCCAGGAGGCGGCGGATCCGCTCCTCCGACAGCGACTGCGGAGCAACGCGGAGGGAATTCCAGGGATTCGCTCCCACCGAGTGGAGGGAAAGCCCCTTCCCAATCCCTGGAAGTGCAGCTTCCAACGCCCCCCGTGCTGCTTAACCGGGAAAAGGGACGGATTCCTCCTGCCTCGCATCCCTCTGGAGCCCCATCCCAGGATTTCTGCTCCGGTTAACAGGGAACAGACTCCTCATTCCATGATTTTTACGCTGGCTAACAGGGAACAGACTCTCCATTCCAGGATTTCTGCTCTGGCTAACAGGGAAAAGACTCCTCATTCCATGATTTTTACTCTGGTTAGCAGGGAAAAGGAACAGCTTCCTCCTGCCCTGTGTCCCTCTGGATCCACATTCCAGGACTTCTGCTCTGGTTATCAGGGAACAGACTCCCCATTCCATGACTTCTGTTCTGGTTATCAGGGAACAGACTCCCCATTCCATGATTTCTGCTCTGCTTAAGAGGGAAAAGGAGCACCTTCCTCCTGCCTTGAGTCCCTCTGGATCCACATTCCAGGACTTCTGCTCTGGTTAACAGGGAACAGACTCCCCATTCCATGATTTTTACACTGGTTACCAGGGAAAAGGAACAGCTTCCTCCTGCTTTTTATCCCTCTGGATCCACATTCCAGGACTTTTGCTCTGGTTAACAGGGAAAAGCAGCACCTTCCTCCTGCCTTGTGTCCCTCTGGATCCACATTCCAGGATTTTACTTTGCTTAACAGGGAACAGACTCCCCATTCCATGATTTCTGCTCTGGGATTATCAGGGAAAAGGACCAGCTTCCTCCTGCCTTGGAGTCCCTCTGGATCCACATTCCATGATTTCTGCTCTGGTTAACAGGGAAAAGACTCCTCATTCCATGATTTCTACTCTGGTTACCAGGGAAAAGCAGCACCTTCCTCCTGCTTTATATCCCTCTGGATCCACATTCCATGATTTCTACTCTGGTTAACAGGGAAAAGGAGCACCTTCCTCCTGCCTTGGAGTCCCTCTGGATCCACATTCCAGGACTTTTGCTCTGGTTAACAGGGAAAAGAAACAATTCCTTCCTGCCTTGAGTCCCTCTGGATCCACATTCCATGATTTCTGTTCTGGTTAACAGGGAACAGACTCCCCATTCCATGATTTCTGCTCTGGGATTATCAGGGAAAAGCAACATCTTCCTCCTCTGGATCCCATCCCGTGAGCTCTGTCCCTGCTCTCCCGGGATTTGTGGGATTTGTGGATCCACTTCCATCCCTGCCGGGGCTTTGGGGGGTTTTTAGGAACCCGAAAACCTCCCTGGGATTTCTCCCGGCTGGATCAGGAATTCCCTGGATCCCTCCCGGCTTCCCAGAGCTCCCAGAGTTTCCTGCTGGGAGAGTGTCCAAGGAGCCGCTCCAGGGAGGTAATTCCACACCTCTGGAATTGCCTTTGCTCCATTTCCCAAGGGAGAAATGGAACAAATTTTGTGGGATCCCAAATCCCATTTCCCAAATCCCCTGTGGAATCCCAAATCCCATTTCCCAAGGAAGCCCGTGGGATCCCAAATCTCCCAAGGGATCTCAAATCCCATTTCCCAAATCCCTGTGGGATCTCAAGTCCTGTTTCCCAAATCCCCTGAGAGATCCCAAACCCCATTTCCTAAATCCCACTTCCCAAATCCCCTGTGGGATCCCAAATCCCGTTTCCCAAGGGAGCCTATAGGATCCAAAATCCCATTTCCCAAATCCCCTGGGAGATCCCAAATCCCATTTCCCAAGGCAGTCTGTGGGATCCAAAATCCCCTGGGAGATCCCAAATCCCATTTCCCGGCAGATCTTGTGGGATCCCAAACCCCATTTCCCAAATCCCGTTTCCCAAATCCCCCATGAGATCCCAAACCCTATTTCCCAAACCCCCTGTGGGATCCCAAATCCCATTTCCCAAGGGAGCCTAAAGGATCCAAAATCCCATTTCCCAAATCCCCTGTGAGATCCCAAATCCCATTTCCCGGCGGAGCCTGTGGGATCCCAAATCCCATTTCCCAAATCCTGTTTCCCAAATCCCCTGTGAGATCCCAAATCCCATTTCCCAAATCCCATTTCCCAAATCCCCTGAGAGATCCCAAACCCCGTTTCCCAAATCCCCTGTGGGATCCCAAACCCCGTTTCCCAAATCCCCTATGGGATCCCAAATCCCATTTCCCAAAGAGTCTGTGAGATCCCAAACCCCATTTCCCAAATCCCTTGAGAGATCCCAAATCCCATTTCCCAAGGCAGTCTGTGGGATTCTCAAATCCCCTGGGAGATCCCAAATCCCGTTTCCCAAGGGAGCCTATAGGATCCCAAATCCCATTTCCCAAATCCCCTGAGAGATCCCAAATCCCATTTCCCAAAGGAGTCCATGAGATCCCAAATCCCATTTCCCAAGGGAGCCTGTGGG